AAAATGCATGTGGGTATTCAAATGAAAGCTCTTGATGAGTGTAACATCAGGATGAGCTTATATATTTAAAAACGTCAATAGTTAAAAAAGTACAGTGCAATTTAACAAAAGTCATTATTTAATAAAGCAAAATTTTAATTTTTTATAGTTCACAAAATTCAAAACTACGAATCTCTTAAAAATAATTTTCTTACTAAGAAAATTCGACTACATCTTACATCTACCTGGATCACTGTCTGACCAGTTCATCCTTTATCTACTAAATCCTAAAAATCTATTTTAAACTTTCTACTCCAATTTTCTTTCTAAAAATTCAACCAACTGAATAAAAAAATAGTATCCAAAGCTATTATCTACTTTTTTCCAACTTCATTCTCCTCTTCGTGATTGTAAAAATGAGCCACCCTCCAACCGACCATCCCGCTTCCGAAAAACGCTTGTTATCAACAAAAAGCCAAATAAATAAATAAACAAATAGATTGAACTAAAAAATGACTCTACGGCGGCAATTCAACAAGTTGCATCGTCCAGTGTCGTCTGACGCATGTGATGTTGTACCTATCAATGATTGACGTCGGACTGGAGTAGTTTGATGATAGTCGCGCGGCGACGGGGGGTAAAACGCAGGCGCATACACGCGATACCGGGATTGGTCTCGGGCGGGGGTCTCTCTTGGAAATGGTCGATATTTTAGCTGTAGCGTTCGCTACAGTGGTGCGACGACGCTTTAGTGAGACCAGTTGGCTTTCCATTAAACCAACTAGTTATATTTTAAATTATTTATACTAATAAAATCATAATCACCCCGTCTTGATACCTCCTCAGTTAATGAAATATCTACGTCTATTTATCGCGAGTTTTAAGTTTTAAAATCACTCGTGTTGTGTAAAGTAAACAGTGTGTGCTAAAGGAACACCTTCCTCGAGTATCTGTGACAGGTGCGAATTCTATTGGATTCACCTCTCTATCTCTCTCACTCTTTCGCTTTCTTGTCTATATATATATATATATGTATACGAACGTCCATACATAGGTATATATCAAAGCTTGAGGTACGTTGCCTATTACTGGCAAAGAGTGCGCTCACAATCATCTACGTCATCCTCATGGTGGTCAATGTTTTCCATTTTATTTTTCTCAATTATTTTTTCCGTTTTTAAGATTCGATTTTTCATTCTTGATTTTTCTTCCCTTAACCACTGAATTTACTGTCTGGGATTGATTTTGGTGTCAGTTAAATAGTGACGAGATGGAGAGAGGCCCTGCCTTTTCCTTTATCGATTTTCCACTCGTCCAACTGGCACAATACAACATCAGTCCTCAAGGTTTTTTCCTTTTTATTTTCATTACTAGGTCGCTAGTCTGACCGAATTTCTAGTATTTTTATTTTTTATATTAATCTATTTATAATTATTTTTATTAATTATTATTCATGTTATTTTAATTTATTTTTATTTAACAGTTATTTCAAGGTTTTTATCGCGAATGTTTAACACGCCGCGATAACTTACCGCTTCCGCTAGACTTTATTTGTAGTTATATTTTCATTCTTGAGTATCTAATTAATTAAAGCTTGTTAATTAGGTCAGTAAATGAAGAAGTTAAAATTTTTGAAACTCTATTTTTAATAATTAAATTAATAATTCTTTTTGGAAGGACTTGTCTCCTGAAATTGTAAACTTTCTCAGTTTAGAGACTCAAAATTAAATTATTTGATTTTTTTATTAAGTTTTTTATTAAAATTTTCTATCAATATGATGTACATTTCTTTTTTTTTTTCTTTAAATGCAATTTGCTTTATTTATTTTATATATTTTAATAATACTCCAAAATTTACTGTACTTATTTGAACACTATCTATGTATCTATAATTTGCCATTCGGCTTAACTCCTTGGCATTAAAACTTAATAAATAAATAAAAAAAAAGTAAATAAATAAATAAAAAAAAAAATAAATTAATTAATTTAAAAAAATAAATAAATAAAGTAAATTTATTTTTAAAGATTTATTTTTTTAATTTTTTGATAAAAAATTATTGAAGTATTAATTATTAAAAATTTATTTGTAATACCGTGAAAGAAAATCGGTATGCAAATATGAATAATGTAGGAAAAAAAAGAAGAAAGAATTGATTCGTACTAAAAATAATACGAGGAGGTTGATAGCGATATGAAATAGAGGAAATATAGGCTGAGGTCGAGTTAGATAGGAGCAAGTTGGGTATAAATCGGGCAGTGTGTCACGCAGAGACAGGGGAAAACTATTGTCCTTTTAAAGTTGAGGTGCAAAGGAACCATCGGAGCATGAAGCTTAAAACGAGAGACAAAAATTTAGTATTTTTATTTTTCAGAGCCGACCCTCTACTCCATGTCACTCCAGTTTCTCTGCGTACCCACTTGTCTCGTGTCATTTAAATTCACCCTTGGAAAGGTCTTTTGTTATTTCAGAACTCACTTCTTAAGACGGTATACATTTGGAAAATCGATTAAAATTAATAAGTGCATCAGTTATTTCATTTATTATATTGTTTCAGGGGTTCTTAGAAAATTTTATTGTCAATACTTATTTATTTATTTATATTTTATGCATTTATGGAGGAATTCTAAGGAGTAATTTTATTTCAGTCAATTATTTAAGCAATAATCATAAAATAACAATTTTTTATCCCAAGCTTATTATTTTTTTTTATTTTAATAATAAAAAGAATAATAAACATACTCACAAAAAAGAAAGATTTATTTTGTTTTTATTTAACAACATATGACCCTACTTAAGCACGAGAGTAACAATCAAAATAAATATACGCATAACTATAGTTGAATAGGAGGAATAAAATTGACCATGTAAATTGTACACATGTGGTCCAGTACACCTGGACACACATTCACAGTCACGTGACCGCTAATTGTACTTGATAAAGTGCCGAGTACGAGGTCTGATAACAAACGCCAACAAAAACACAACCAAGAATAAGTATTTACAAGTCTACATACAATAGGCACGTTGACGTGGAATTAAATATGTCATATTTTATTTCTTTCTTATTTTAGTTTTTTTTTTTTACTCAAAACAGTTCATTCAATCGGTAACACTGTATACGTAACATGTTCGATCGTTAATTGAATTTTAATAGATAAATAACCAAAATTTTAAGTGATTTTTGGCTTAATTACAAAATGTGGTTCGAGAGAAACAAAAACAAAAGTGTGAAAAAACATGAAACTTTGAGAAATTCCGTTTTTGAACTAAGATCGCGTATGGCGCGGATGGTTTCCATCGTCGAAATTACATCTCCGGATTATAATCCGGTACCGGATGGCTCATTCCCCTCCATCGTTATACTTAATACCTTTCTTAATATTTAAATTAAAATTAATTACTTACAAACATTTTATTATAAATTATAATTCTCCGAGAGATTTAATAATTATTCTAATATCGTATTCATTATTCACAGCTCGAGTTATAAATGAATAATTTTGATAAATGAATGAAAATTTAATTAATCTCTGCAGAGTATTAGTATTCAAGTATTTTTATTCTAAAAAAAAAAAAAAAAATAGAGTGATTTAATAAAATAAATTAAATTTTGATTCATTCATGTCATAAATAAAGTACTCTGAGAAAAAAAATTTTTTTGTCAAGAAAAAAATTTCTTGGCTCAAGAATCGTTTAAAATAAATTTTGGTTTTTTGACAAAAGAAATTTTTTTAAATTGTCAAAAATCGAATTTTTTATTTTTAATTTTTTTTCTTGTTACGTCACAATTTTATAGACCATACAAAAAGGTTTTCCTGAAAGTTTCAGTTCAAAATGCGAATTTTAAAAGGTCGCTCATAATTTTTTTTTAAATTTATTATTATTAGTGACTATTTAATTGGATTAGCATTTTTTGGCTCTGAAATTCAAAAAAAAATTATGAGCGACCTTTCAAAATTTTAATTTTGAATTGAATTTATTTTTTTTTTGGTCTATAAAATTATGACGTAACAAGAGAAAAAATTTAAAAAAAAATTTGGATTTTTGAAATTAAAAAAAATTTGGAGCGACCTCTTAAAAATTTTTTTTTGAGCTGTTCTTTGGAGAGGGCTCTTAAAGCATTAAAAACTGACATTTTTTCACTCGAGACTCAAAAAAAAAAAAAAAAAAATAGTCCGTTTTTTTGCGCCACCCTAATTATGATAATATAATATTGGCATTAATTTTGATAGATTAACAAGAAAATATATTTTTATATGACAAGAAAATTTTCTCAAGAGTAGTACTTTTTTTTCTAAGTGTATTTAAATGATTAATTTAACTAATAAATTAAAAATAAATTACAGATGGCAGGACAAGATCCAAAGTGGCAGAAAGATGCCGCGGATCAAAATTTTGATTACATGTTCAAATTGTTGATCATCGGGAACTCGTCGGTAGGAAAAACCTCATTTTTATTCAGATACGCGGATGACTCCTTCACGTCAGCGTTTGTGTCGACTGTCGGCATTGACTTTAAAGTCAAAACTGTGTTCAGACATGATAAAAGGGTCAAGCTACAAATCTGGGTCAGTAAAAATATTTTTAATAAATGTTTTTTTTTTTTTTTTTTTTTTTTTTTAAGGCGGGTAAAATAATTGAAATAGTTTGAATGCCCGGCACTAAATCGGAAATCAATAGATGTATTAGCGTGTGGTGGATGTGAGCTGAAGGTCGTTTGATTAACATCTAGATTTAATTTACACACCGCAGGACACGGCTGGACAGGAGCGTTATAGAACCATCACGACGGCCTATTACAGAGGAGCGATGGGATTCATTCTCATGTACGACATAACTAACGAAGAGTCTTTCAACTCGGTCCAAGATTGGATCACGCAGATTAAAACTTACTCGTGGGACAATGCTCAGGTCATTCTCGTAGGCAATAAGTGCGACATGGAGGACGAAAGGGTGGTCAGTTTCGAGAGAGGCAAGCAACTGGCTGAGCAACTGGGGGTACAATTTTTTGAGACTTCTGCCAAAGAAAATATTAATGTTAAGGTAATTTATTTTTTTAATGATTTTTATTTAATCCAGCGATTTTTTTTCAGCTAAAAAAAATAATGGAATTTAATTTTTTATCTTATTAATAAATTATGGGGAAAAAGTATGAAGTTTTAAAAGAATTTTATATATCTGACCTATTTAAATAACTGAGAGAAATATTTTTTATTCTACTCCTGTGGGAGATAAATGAAGACTGTAATAACGTTGGTTTATAGAATTATTATTCTGTTTTAAATTCAGCCGTTCTTTGATTGAAAACAAATTTTTTCTGCTGTTTGCAAAGTTTTGTAAATAAAATCTATTGTATTATTCGCTGTTTAATTTGGAAATATTGACTTTTTATGCAGAAAGTTTTTATTTGGGGCAATTTTTAATATTTGATGATTGTTTATTATTTTTTTTAATGAATAATTAAAACTTGGACTATATTTAATTTGTTAAATTAAAAAAAAAATTATTTTAAAACAATTTGTTTTTTATAGTTGAAAAAATTATTCAGTCATTAAATTATTCAATTTTAATGCATAGAGTTTTAAATTGGAGCAAATAAATTGTAATTATATTTTTTTTACATAAATTATTAAATTTAAAACATTTATTAATTGAATTTTTCAATTATTTTGATATTTTTGTTTTAACATAAATAAAAAAAAATTAAGTTTATAAATTAATTATATTTTGGTACATAATTATATATAAATTTTGCTTCACTTATTTTTCATCGTAAATAATTAAAAATTAAAATTTGTATGATTAAAAAAAAATTAAATTTCATAAATATTTTTAATTATAAATTCAATATAAATCAAAATTAAGAAAAAAAAATAATTTTTTAATATCTGATGATTGTTTATTATTTTTTTTAATGAATAATTAAAACTTGGACTATATTTAATTTGTTAAATTAAAAAAAAAATTATTTTAAAACAATTTGTTTTTTATAGTTGAAAAAATTATTCAGTCATTAAATTATTCAATTTTAATGCATAGAGTTTTAAATTGGAGCAAATAAATTGTAATTATATTTTTTTTACATAAATTATTAAATTTAAAACATTTAATAATTGAATTTTTCAATTATTTTGATATTTGCGCTTTAACATAAATAAAAAAAAATTTAGTTTATAAATTAATTATATTTTGGTAATTATATATAAGTTTTGCTTCACTTATTTTCATATTTTTAGTTGTAAATAATTAAAAATTAAAATTTGTATGATTAAAAAAAAATTAAATTTCATAAATATTTTAAATTATAAATTCAATATTAATTAAAATTTTGTCTTTTGATCAACAATTTAAAGCATTTTTATTAAATTGCGTATCTATGTAGAACAATTAAGAAAAAAAAAATTTTTTTTAATTAAAATTAAAAATCTTTATATTTTTAATTTATAATCAAAAAGTAGAATTAATTTTTCAACAAAAATAAACGGCGCTACTTGTAAATAAAGTAACCCATTTTTTAAAAAAAGATAAATTATTTTGCTCCATTAGTCAACTAGTTAACAATCACCATAAAAGCGATAAATAATTGTTTTATAGATTTTTATTTATAAATTAAATACCAATAATTCATCTTCTTACATAAAAACACACTAATAAATGATAAATACTAAACAATAAATTATCGGACTTATTTCCAGGCGGTGTTTGAACAATTGGTAGACATAATATGCGACAAAATGAGCGAGTCTCTCGACAATGATCCAGCGCTGATGGCAGGAGGCGGTGGACAAGCGAAAGGACAAAAGCTAACTGATCAGCCGGCGAACCCTTCGAATCCCAACTGCAACTGCTAAAGACCTAAATAAAATAAATTTTAAAAGTCTATATAAATATATATTAAAAACAAAAAGTAAAACTAAACAAATAAAAAATAAACCACCAAGAAAAATAAATAAAGCGGTTAAGATCCAATCACGGCGGTTGTCTCTAAATCGTTATATTACATTAGTTAGAATTATTATATGTTCAGCCGTTAATTATGTAATCACTGGTTGTTTGGCACGTATCGTGGGACTCGTTATTTAGTTAGAGAATTTATCAGACCATTTATTATTAATTATTACCTGAGACTTTTTATTAAATCCGCAGAGTTTCTGTCACTGAGAACTCCGACTTTGCGGCTAAACTTCACATTCCTTGTTAATATTATTATTATTATTATTATTTTTATTTTTATTATTATTATGACATATATATATATTTAAATAGTCACTGTGCCGTCACGAAGACGCTCGACGCCCTGATTATTGATTATATCTCAGTTATAAAAAAAAAAAAAAAAAAAAATCCTCGCCTTTTTTTAATTTGTCGATTGGCGTGATACATTGCACGTGCGCCCGTATAACTTATTAAACACCCCATTATATTATTTTTTAACATAATAGAGATAACGATTGCGCTGGTACGAGTATTTTATTAAATAAAAAAATATTATTCGAGTTTGTTAATTGAAAAAAAAATGTTTCAAATGAATAAAAAATGTACCATCGGTTAAAATTTAACTAGTACCAGGCAACTTGCCCTCTGTATATATTTATTATTTTATTAATATTATTTAACTCTATAAACGAATTGTATTGTCGTTAATAAGTTACTGGGACCTATTCTGATAGTAGAATAGGACAAACACAAAATTTAAGCGTAAGAAACTAGCCAGCGTCACTGAAACTGTATTTTATTTTAAAAACTGAAAAATTTATGACTTATAACACAAAAAAAAAAGTAAAAGTTTAAATATATACTATATGTGTATGTGAAAAAAAAAATGTAGCGCAGTATATCGAAATTTGAGATATGACTTTGCGGAAAATGTTTAAAACTCTCTTGTATTAGTACTCTACATATATATTGCCCCATGAAAAAAAAAATATATGTCGAAATACATAAAGAATATATTTTAAATATATTAAAAATCTATAAACAATATATAAATATATATTAATTATGTATTGTAAATATATTTTTTTAATAACTAACTTTTGGCCGATTTTCATATATATTTAATATATTTTAGATATATTTTTTTTTATATTTTTAGCTATGTATATTTTATGTATTTTAAAATATATCTTGAATATATCTAAAATATATGAAAATCGGCCAAAAGTTAGTTATTAAAAATATATTTACTATACATATTTTTTATGGTATCAGGCATTTTGATCCCCCGACAAAAAATCCCCGACAAGTTATCCTTCAAATTCGTTATAGTTCTCGAAAATTTGAATAAAAGAAAAAAATTATTAAAGGACACAATGATAAAAGGGCACAACACGGTAACAAGCGTATCGGTTGGTCTAATGTAGAATAAACACATACAAAAAGCATGTTAAAAGAGCGCAACACTACTGCTAGTAGAATATTGAATATGGATTTGATTATCTGGCTTTGGTATTCTTAATTTTATATGATGATACAAAAGATAAAATTGTTTAAATAAATTAACTATTTTATTTTTTATTTTTTGTTGTTTATCGTTTAATTTAAAAATTCCGGCTATTTAGTATTAATTGTCGGGGATTTTTTGTCGGGGATCAACCATTTTTTATATATTTATAAATTTTCAATGTATCTAAAATATATTTTTCGACATATATTTTTTTTTTTCATGGGGGTTTTGTCAGCCTTTTTTATTTTTTAGTTCAGTGGCGTATTCAACGTCGTTATTACAGAAATTGCATACTATGCGTTGTATCAGCTGTATACGTCAGGTACTTTTCACACAAAAAAACTAGATAGTGAAGGAAGAAAGCCGAAATGAGAAGAAAGAGAAGAGAAAAGTGAATAATTATTAATATGAGTGCTGTTTTGAAAATATAATTACTATTACCATTAATATTGATATTGATATTTATTATTGAAAAAAAAGTTATTATAAATTTATTTGATGGCCGGATAATTGTATGTGTGTATCGTATGTAACAATGCCTAATGTTATTTATGGTAATAGATACATAACACATGCATAACACATGTTAAGAGCGATTTCAGGGTAAGGAGAGCTCAATTAATTGATTAATTAATTAATTAATTAATTAATTAATTATGGATGCTAAAATATCAATACATGAGAAGCGAACGTATAAATTAAAAATAAACAAAAGTTTAGGGGAGAAAAGGATTATTTTAAATGTAGATGAGTCAGTTGTGCGACTGTATTATTTTCCTGATGCGTGCGTGCATGCACAGACTGTGAAAAAAAAATAAACTAAATAAATAATGAAGTTGATTGACGAAAATGAATAAGTTATTAATTGAATAAGGATGAATAATAACAATAATTAAATTAATTATAAAATATGAAACAAAGATTATTGGTCTGTTGTGACTATAAACGTAGAACTGTGTAAAAATGTAGCAGATATGCATATATATATGTGTGTACGTATATATATGTGGCTCGGTTTGAAATGGAGTAAAGTTATAATTTACAAAAAAAAAAAAAATTCTTCGTCGTTATTTAATTGTTATCCTTGCTATTTTATTTTTTTTTTTTATTTTTATTGTATTAGCGTAAGAGTCTCTGTCGGGACTTTTAAAGTGTGTAATGGAGTAGGTGGAGAAATTGCGAGATAAATTGCATTATAAAACTCTCTCGGAAAATTTGTAATGGCGAAGATATATAGCGTTTTTATGGCCTTCGTGTCTCTTCATACCTGCTGTTGGTAATTCGATGTGGAGATCAGTAATTTCTTTTTAAGGATATTTAATGTCCTGCGCATGCTTCGAATTGAGAGCTTGATGCAATTTTTTTTAACTCATTACATTTTTTTTGGTGTTATATTACTTAAGGTCAATCATTGATTAGGTTTTTGGGTCAAATTCATCAATTTATGTTTTTAATGATGAAAATAGGTTTATTGAAGAGAAAAATATTTTTTTCTTACCTAGGGCAGGAAAATAAGAAATGTCTCAGATTACATGTAATTGTTGACCGAGGCGAAGCCGAGGTTGACAAACATGTGATCTGAGGCTTTCTTATTTCCTGCCCGTGGTGAGAATACTATTTTTCTCCTCGACGGAGGCGGAAAGCGGCATTTTCGTTTAGCGCAGCGAGCAGAAAATTGACGCTTTCCGCACGAAGGGGAGAAAAATACTATTATCAGATTTTATTAAGAAAAATTGCAGTGAGAAGAATATTTTTGATATTAAGAAGAAAATAAAAACCTATAGATAGTATGAAAGTAACCGAGAAAAATTCTCTATCAAAATGTATAGTTGAATTTCTCGATCAAAATTTATTTCCAAGTTCAAAACTTCTTTTAGCTTATCCGTTCCTCCATCTGGGACCTGCAATAGAAATGCTTGACAGTCGGTATGTATGCACCTCTGTTTGCGCTTATAATAATAATAATAATAATAATAATAATAATAACAATAAATATTATTATTATTATTTTTAAGAAGTGGTAAGAGATTTACTATTTAAATTGTAGGAACAACAAACTGGATTACAAAAATCACTCAGAAGATTACATCTTTCACCGTTTGCTTAGAAATATTCACTAAAATAGTAAAAATGTTCATCTTAATTTGTTATTATTATTTTTAAGAATAAGTGAGAACAGATTTACTATTTAAATTGTTGGAATTACAAACTGGATTACAAAAATCACTTACAAGATTACACCTTTTACCCTTTGCTTAGAAATATTTATTAAGAAAAATAGTAAAAATGCTCAAGTATATTTTAATTTGTCTTTTGGCAGTATTAAATTTTATTCAATTAAAGTATTTATTTATAATTTATAACTAATGAAAATGAAAATTATTTTAACTGTAATATAATTAAAATTTTTACTTTAAACTTGGTAAAAATGCTAATTTTTTTTTAATTGATTTAAAATTATCGCAGATTTTAATTTTTGATTTAAATTAGATAAAAATTACGGGATTTTTTTCTTAGTTCACAAAAAAAAATTATTAAAGACGCATTTTTAGCTCAACAAAGAAATGTTTTAGAAAAAACGTTTAGCTACTCAATAGATTATTTAATTTTTTGTTTATTAAAAAAAAAAATTCATAAATCTGCATTAGCTTCGCTATAAAAATTAAAGCTCAATACGTATTTTATGAAAAGATTTTAGTTTTTGGTTCTCTTACTAAATGCAAAAGTTAATTTCAACTGAAAGAAAAATCGTCATTGCATTGCTATCGACAGTAATTGTTTCTGCAGTAGAAAAGTTTTTGTAAAAGAGTGTAGATCCATAGATGACTTTCAATTCTACGAAGCCTAGCTTTCATGATGATTCAGGAATTGTTTCGATAGTTTTGTGTGTGTAAAAAAAGAGAAAAGAAATTCGACAGAAGGGTGGAACAAAAAATGGTGAATGCATTACGGCATATATCGTTGAAAAAGCAATGTGTCTCGCTTAGAAATGATTAATTTGGAATTGAAATCAAGGACACGTATCTTTTTGCAGAGGTTTTGGAGAGGTAAGATATTTTGTCCGTGTCTTAATTTCCCGAGTGAAGCAATCGATCCTCCAGAAGCGTTGTGGATGTCAGCGGTAATCCTTTGGATAATAATAAAAACAATAAGTAAAATAAGATGAGATAAAAAAGTGATAAGATTTATTTGAGTCCCAGAAGAATTTCTAAAAGAAGTTTTAGAAAATAGTCAGGATGACATATTGACGGCAGACCTCCTAGGAAATAGAAAGTAAGCGACAAATTTCATTGCCGTTGTTTAGTTGTTTTTATTTGTACCTCGGGGGTCATAAAGAAGCTCTGAAGGAAGGTTATGAATATTTTTTATTCGGTAATTGAAGATAAAAAAAAGCCAAAAATTATA